TCATTTAAACTCAATGTACAAATGGTAAGTCAAAATGATTAAAGAAGAGCACCCTATACAACTAGAGCACCTTCACCGGGAAAGCCACATTTAGCTTTCCCTTAACAGCCATCTTGGCTAAGCAAACACAAGAAGAACACAAAGTACAATCATAAACAAAGTTACAAACCCTTAGCCATGAGGCTAATGCATAAATGTCTACTGCAATAATATTTGGCTTGTTAAAGTTCGAGTTCGAATCCAATGAATTGAGTTCAAACTCATCTAAAACTGGTTAATTACGTTCAAAGTCGTTAGACTAGTTAAGGTTCGAAAAATAAAATTTTTATATAATTTTCTGTAATATCGCTTATTAAAGCTTGAGTTTATCTCATTGAAATTCGAGCTCAACTTTTAATATTGATAAACGAGTTAGGCTCGAGCTCATTTATCGGTTTGTCTGCTAAGATTTGATTTGGTGGGCAGAACTATTTATTTTTTAATTAAATATTTTATTTATCTTGAATTTATATAAAAAATAAATAAAAATACTAATTAACAAATTGTTAAAATTATGGGGGCTTGTTTGGATACAAAAAAATCTCACTCAAAGTAAATTAACTCTAATTTTACTGTTGAATGTGTTTGGATATAAATAGTTTTACCTTCTTCTACTTTTTCGTTGAGTCTCGCCTAGATGTAAAATGTCACTGCTTTAAACGTACAATTCAGCAACTTTGACAATTTGTTCTTCCTGGCTCGAGAATACACGTCTTCCACTATAAATTCTACACTCGCTTCTCCACGGAAATGAACACCACCACTGAGAAGAAGTTTGGCCCGACTGTGACACCACCAAATCGTGAAACACGGGGCCCAGAGGAGAGGATGATCCAAACAGTGAGAGCACATGCAGACGATGCAGTGTGTCGGTGACGTTGCCGGAGAAAAAAAAAAAGAAAAGAGAAGGTCTGTTAATCTTGCTTCTGCATGTTTCTAGGGCATTTTTTCTGGTAAATAAAGTGATTGTAGGTTGCTATTTCGTATTGTTCTAACCCACTTCCTCGTGATATGTTTGGATTTGCTCGATTTTTGTTAAGAGCCTGAAATTTGGGAATCAGGGCTATCGCAATTTCAAAGAAGATTTTGAATTGCAAAGGTCATCCCTCTTCATATGTTGTGTAATTCATTTTTCAAGTTGGATTAATTCCTGTGTTTATTTCATTTTATTGCAATGCTTTTACAAAACCACATCTGGTTGTGTTATATTTTGTTTGTGTGAAAATAAGTTTTAACAAGTACACTCGAGGAGGTTTCTGTTGTTCAACCATGTAGTTGGTTTCAAGTGGTGATGTTGGCACTTCCAAATTGAAGCAAGCCGATGCAAAATGGCCTCCCGAGAATGAGGCTCACTTGATAGCACCGATGTCGCAATAAGTACGCGTGTGTAATTGCGAGGGTGGTACATTCAAGTCCATTCAGTAGGCGGAAATACAAGGTAAACTGAATGAAAGGTTCAACACACAGCCAGGTTATGACATCCAACAGATAATGAACAAGCATGGTCTGTTGAAAATGTGTTGGTGTAGCTTCCGCACAATGTTTATTAAAGAAATAAGGTTCGGTTGGGATGCCTGTAATGCCCCGTTATTTTTAGAAGAATAAATCCCGAGTTTTGAAAAATAAGAGTAATTTTTTAAATAATTATTTATCTCTTTAAAAACAATTTAACAGGCGCTACTCAATCATATATCATTCAGCTTTATATCATCACAAGCCGTTGGGAACTCATTGCCCAATATCAAGTCATAAACGAGACTTAACTCACAACTATACCATCTCACCAATAACATCAATCAATAATAGTATTCAACCCAAGTTCAAACCAAAACAATATTCAAGACATCAGCTTGAAACCAATCACAAGTTTTAAAACATTCAGGTTTAAGCGGAAGCAACATCAACAATATCACATGCTCATCAACAAGCCTCAATATAAGATCATATTACTCAGAACAATATCCAATCTCAAGACATATAATACAATTCAAGTTCATAATGAGTTCGACATGATAAAACATAATAACAATAGCAGAAGCAAATAAACAGTTCATCCTATCAGACACAATGACTCACTCGCGCGTCTTGTGCCACGACCGCCAGCTCAACTTGAAAGGGGGGAAATAGTGGGGGTGAGAAAAGAACAAGCTCACTGTGGGAATACCATGCAGTATATCAGTATAATGACTTAAAATCATAATCGCAGCATGAATGAAAATCACCTCACCTATCTCCGATCTCACCCTATGCACATATGTGCACACTATTGCAAGGGACCCAGTCCGCTCTTGTCTATGCTCATATGCACACACTATTGTACGAGACTCAATCCGACTTACCCTATGCTCATATGCACACACTCTTGCACAAGATCTAATCTGGCATGTCCTATACTAATATGTACACACTCTTGCATAAGACCCACTCTGGCTATACCCTATGCTCATATGCACACACTCTTGCACTAGGGTTCAACTCGATAGATAAGTGGTTCACACGCAAACATTAATTATCAAGCCAAGCAATTATAAAGAATAACATACATGGTAAGGTTTATCAACACTCACCTTAACTGCAGATGTACGATGAAGAATGAATGCACGTGAAGTTGCATGAGGGCTCGACTCCTCTTAATCTACAAATTAGGGATTTAATTATGAATAAGGATTTCGATTGAGGTTGATCACTGTTCGTACTCAATTTACCTGCAGATAATAAATAAACAAAGGGCTATAATACATAATAAATAAATATGCAAATAACATGTTCTCCTAGTTGATTATTTAATATCGACCGATTCCTCAAGACGCCCAGATCGCCTGCACCCGAGTCGAACAAAATTTAATATCACCCGCCCGACCCGGATACGATAAAGAAGTCGACTTCCAAGGACGCACATTACCGACGAGACAAACGTCTATCGAAGCCATCAAGTATTATAATTGGGTCCCACGCGGTCACACCACATTAAAATATCATTTGTATTATTTTATTCCTCATTAATTCATGTCCATATGTTATGCCATTTATATATACTTGGCACCCACTACTGTAAAGGGGGATGATCTTATCCAAAACATCCCGGAAGAGAGAGAAAAAGAGGGGTTATTTTCCAAAATATCAAAGAATAAGAAACTTCATCTTCATTCTTGGGTTTTTCTTGATTTTGTATAACAAAAACCATATGTTTATTTTTGTGAACTGAGTACCCGGAGTAGTGTACGGTTCACCCCCGTTGCTGACATTTTTTAGCATAAAAAATGGTGCTAGAAGGAGGGCTTCATAATTGCTTGAGGTAATTTTTCAACTTGTGGAACACGACCAAAATTTTCCAGATTTCAAGAAAAAAAAGATGTATTCGGTCCAAAAAAATCAAGTTGGGAAAGAAAGAAAAAGGATTACAAAAAGGAAATCATATTAGAAGAGAGTGGGTTGCATTTGTTATATCTGTGTTCACATCATAACAATGTATGTATATGTTTTTTATTTAAAAAAAGGATGAGAAACAGATAATGAGAGAGGGAAGGGAATTTATTTTTTCTTTAAACCTAAACCGACCACATCATCACTATGGCTTCCTCTCACCTTATCGCCTCATAAAAAAAATAAAAAAAAAAGAGAGAGAGAGAAGAAAAAGCAGTCTCCATCGCCCTATGCTGCAGCTCCGCATCCCCCCGCTGGAGACAGAATCTCACATCCTGGTCTCTAATAACTTCGCCCGGATCAGCCCCTGCACTCAAACCAAGAATCGCCATTGAAATCAGGCTCCGCTTGCAAACAGCGACCCGAACCGAACACCACCACCGAGTTCAGACTCAGCCCCCAATTCACGCCTGGGCCGGACAAAACCGACCACCATCCACGGGCCGAACCTATCATCGTTCGCGGACTGAACATAACCAACCGTCTGTGGCTCGAACAGAGCCATCTGGCGACTGAACAGAACCATCCGTTGGGACCGAATAGGTACATCTGCCTCTGTGGGTCGAACCGACCACCATACGCAGGCCGAACACGGATCTTACATCATAGATGGCTCGATCGGATGTCCCTACCATAGCTGGGCCGAACAGCCAAATGGCCTGAATCCTTTATTGAAGGCCATGCACACGTAGGCTTGGTTTACCGGTTGAAGACCAACGTGATCAAAAGAGAGAAGCTGAGTTGGCATTCTGACACAGGAAAAGAAATGGAAGAGAGAGACGATCGAGCTGTGAGCTTGGAGAGCAAGAAAGCTGACAAAAGCAATTCCAAAACCCTAGATGATTTTCCCTTAGCTAATGATGTTGTATTGTGTGACAACTTTACCCCTTAGGAGATTGTTATAGCCGCACAGTACATATACCATTCTTGTGTATGAAAAACTTAGACATAGAAAAGAGAAGAACAACTTTTACCATATCAATGAAATAGCATTAATTTCTTGTTTAATCATCTCTATGGCGTTTTATCCCTTTCTCATTGTGGTATCAGAGCAGGTGTAAAAACCTGCCTCTGATCCATCTTCACCACTTTTATTTGTCTCCTTTTTATTATCATTCCTGCTGCCATGACCGGATCCCAAGGAGATTCTACCATCCACCTTCAAAGCCAGCTGGTTTCAGTCAAACTAGGTGAAAACAATTTTTTGATCTGGGAACAGCAGATTCTCACTACTCTTAGAGGATATGGTCTCCTTGGATTTATCAATGGAGAGATATCAGCTCCAGACAAACTCAGCACAGATCCAAATGGACAACCACAGGTCAACAAAGATTATCTTCAATGGGTTAAGCAAGACCAACTCATTGCTTCTTCGCTTTTATCCTCTTTATCAGAGAATGTTCTTATCTCTGTTGTTGGACTCAATACCTCGAAGGAAATTTGGGATTCTCTTAAATCTGGGTTTGCTAGCCACAGCTTGGCCAAACAAATGCAACTAAAGCTCGAGTTGCAAACACTCAAAAAGAGATCTATGAAAATGAGAGAGTACTTCAACAAAGTGAAAGGGCTTTGTGCTGCAGCAGGCCAAAGGCTAAGTGAATCTGACCAACTTCTGCACTTGTTGGCAGGACTGGGAGCTGAATATAATCCTGTGGTTGTGACTTTGACATCAAGATCTGAGAAATGCCCTATGATGGAAGCTTATTCCATTCTTCTGAGTTTTGAAAGTAGGCTTGAGAGTGCTGAGACTATGAATGAAGGAGATGGCTCTATCCTTGCTGCTAATATGGTCACTCATACTTTTGGTAGAGGAAGAGGCTCAAATCCTATGAGAGGAAGACCTCAGAGCTATAACCAGTCATTCAGAGGAAGAGGACAAGGCAGAATGGCCAACCACAGAGGAAGAGCTGGTAGAGGAGCATTTGGTGCAAATAGGCCAAGATGTCAGATCTGTGGGTACAACAACCACACAGCCGACAAGTGTTATTTTAGGTTTGACATGAATTTTACTGGAAGGTCTCAGAACAACACAAACCAACAAACCCAGCAAGCTAATGGGGGGTTTTCTGCAAACATTGCAAGCATTGGAAACCAAAGTGAAGATGGATCACAGGATTTTTGTTGGTATCCAGACTCAGGGGCCACTCATCATCTTGTTAGTGTTATATACTGAAAGCTTGGGTTTGCATGTTATTACACATTTACCCTTTATGAATGAGAATCATGTTAGATTAAACAAGTTCTACGTTCTGTTGTTCTGCACTTAGATAGGGTGGGTCGTCATCGGGCGAACCGAAGATCACTCTATCAGTTACTTGCGAACAAGAATACTTGTTCACAACCTAGATAGACATGAACACTCCATCCGAACGGTTGTAGTGTCAACTGTACAGTTTGTCTTGACTGATTAGTTGCACTAGTACATTTATGTATTGAACAAGATCCCAGAGAGGAGAAGTTCATTTTATACTGATCGTCGTAAATGAACTAGGCCTCGGTTAATTACTGCGTTCTCTTAACCCGTAAGATATTAAACAGACAGATACGTATAATATATATTACTTTGACTCACATGGGTGAGGTTCAGTTCGCTGGATTAATATTCCTACTGTTTTGGGTAATATTATTATATATAGGATGTGCTGTTAGGATATTTACGGTCACCATGTGCGTTAGTTTGATGATGTCCCCGGAGTGAGTTCATGAAGGATTGTTATGCTAAACCCTGCAGGTGGATTAAGTTCCGGCATAATAAGAATATAATGAACGAGCGCCAGCTTCGGTGAAATAATAATAAATTAATTAATTCTTGATTGTCAGTAATCGAATTAATTAATGGACATTATATCTTAAACTTGTGGAGGTAAATCGAGTAATTATTATTGGAGTCTCAAATATAATTTGGGCTAGGAAGAGGGAGTGCAATAATATAATGTTGGTGGCCCATTAATATTATTTAATTAATTAGAGGAGTGGGCTTGGCCCACAGTTAGTCTAATTAATTAAGGAGCCCTTTTCCTAATCTCCTTAGGGTCCCTACTGTAGCTCTATATATACATCATTAAGCTCATGAGAAGGAATGAGAATTCACATCTCACGTGAAACACGCCTCACACGCCTCTCTCTCTCTAAATCTCATTCGAGCTTTATCTTCTTCTTGTTGCTCCACTGGTACAAGTCGAAGAAGGGTGTATTGAGTAATACAGTAGAAGATCTATAGGTAAACCGAGACGAAATAGATTTTGACCTACAGAACTAACCGGAAGTCCTATTGAGACGTACAGTATACCCAGACGACCGTCTCGACGAGAGCTTTCCAACTCCGCCGACATCGTCGGATTCCGATGCTTAACGCGCCCTCACGCGCCGCCGGAAGGAGCCTGACTGCAAAAACTCGTTTGGATCTGCTTGCATCCGTTTGATCCGATTTTGATCTGATCTTGTTCCTACAACCAAAGACGTGATTTGCGGTCAATCAATTGCGGTCAACCGTTCGTGGTCAGCCAGATCTACATAAATTTTAAGCCGTAAGTTCTCTACGTCAAACCTTTAGATCCGCTGCGCATAGGTTTACGTTTGCTATTGAATTCGTGATTTGTACATAACGAGATCCTCACAGATCCCAACACATCTCACTAACGAGCTTAACGACCTGAACATTGCATCAGAATATCAAGGGAGTGAGAAAGTTCAAGCAGGAAATGGGACAGGTATGCATATTGTTCATATAGGCAAATCAATGATGAAAAGCCATGATTCCACTTATCCTGACATCTTCCTTGTTAATAATCTGTTACATGTCCCTCAAATCACCAAAAACCTTCTTAGTGTCTCTCAGTTTGCAAAAGATAATCAAGTATACTTTGAATTTCATCCTTCTTTATGCTTTGTGAAGGACATCAAGACAGGCTCAACTTTGCTTCAAGGAACTCTTAGGAATGGACTCTATTGTTTCCAGCTCCTCAAAACTGAAGATGGTTCTTTTAGTGTTAGTACTGCTAGTAATCCTTTTTCATTTCAATCAAGTTGTAATGCAGCTGCCTTAAAAGATGTTGACACATTAGAAATTTGGCATAACAGGCTGGGGCATCCTTCATTTGACATTGTTAAAACTGCTTTACAACATTGTGATGTTCCTTTTCTTGATAATAAAAGATCCTTATTTTGCAATGTGTGCATGGAGTCTAAATTTCATAAACTTCCATTCTCAGAATCAGAAAATCTGAATTATAACCCATTTGATCTCATTCATAGTGATTTATGGGGTCCTGCTCCCACTACTTCTCATAAAGGCTTTAGATACTATGTTAGTTTTATTGATCATAGTACTCGGTTTGTATGGTTCTATTTGCTCAAAAACAAGTCAGACACAAAGGCTGCCTTTACACATTTTCATGCCCTCATCAAAACTCAGTTTGGCACCTCTATAAAAACCTTACAATGTGATGGAGGTGGGGAATTTCTTGCTCTTAAGCCTTTCCTGACTGAACATAGCATTAAGTCTAAAATCTCTTGCCCATATACACCTGAGCAAAATGGATTAGCAGAGAGAAAGCACAGGCACATTGTGCAAGTTGGCTTATCTTTGCTTTTTCAATCTCATGTCCCATTCAAATTTTGGGATGAAGCCTTTTCCAGTGCAGTCTACCTCATCAATAGAACTCCTCAAAAGGTTCTTCAGTTTAAATCTCCTTTAGAAATCCTCACCAAGACCAAACCTGATTATCTTCTTTTTAAAAGTTTTGGCTGTCTTTGTTTTCCATTACTTAAACCATATAACCAGAACAAACTTCAGCCCAAGAGTCTTGCTTCAGTTTTTATTGGCTACAGTTCTACTCATAAAGGATATAAAGTCCTTCTTCCCTCTGGTAGAATCATCATCACCAGGCATGTCCTTTTTGATGAATCAATTTTTCCTTTCAACAATTTCCCTCAATCCTCTTCTTTGCCCCATAATCCCTCTGATATCCCCACTCCTACACCCACCATCATTTCTTCCCAACCACCTCCTTCTGATAATCCTCACTTGCCATCAAATTTTCAAACTCAAGATGTTACTTCTGATTCTTACAGTCCCACCACTTCCTCATCCCCTATACATCATTCTCATACTCAGCAGCTGCAACATTCTCACACTCCACAAACATCTCCTTTATCTTCACCTCATCATATTCACTCTTCCCCTTCAACTAGATCCCATAGTTCTTCAATTCCCATTGGCCAAATCATCATTGATCTTCCTATTGAACATAATGTTTTATCTCAACCAGTTGCTACTAATGAGCATCATCAAATTACAGGTAATCATCCAATGACCACAAGGTCCAAATCAGGCATTTTTAAGCCAAAAAGCTACTCCACCATTCTCATTTCAGAGAGAGAGCCTATGTCCATTACTGAAGCTCTTTCTTCTCCTCCTTAGTTAGAGGCAATGAAAACTGAATATCATGCTTTGCTCAGCAATAACACATGGTCATTAGTACCTTCCCCAACTCATAGAAAGGTTATTGGCAGCA